TATTTCTCTTGTCTCTTCCTAGTTATATGACAAAAATCACATCATGACATATTTATAACGACAATGTGAGCAGATCAGCTTCAGTTCTATTGAAAGCAAGAAATAGAACATGGTTTGTTTTGTTTTTCAGACAGGGTCTCCCTGTGCAGTTCAGGCTGGCCTTGTGCTCACTTTGTAGCCTAGGCTGGTCTGATCTTCCTGCCTCAGCCTCTCTGAGTGCTGGGACTCCAGGCATGTGCCACTACTCCTGGCTCTGAAAATGGCTTGTGATCTGCTCAGCCCAGAGTCACTGACTTTTTAAGCACCAATTCTGAATGTTTTGCTTAGCGCCCTGAGGGCTCTTCCACCTGAGGCACCAAGATTTAGGTGGCTGCAAGTCAAGGTTGTGGCAAAGAATCTGCACAAACGCCAATGATCACCTTACAACCCTATCACTGCCCACGTAGCTCCTGGCGCATCTTCTGTATCCCAGGGCTATGTGTACGCCTGTTCCAACATGCCAATTAGAGCTCTGCTCATTCATTCATTCCACAAATATTTATTGAGCACCTACAACACACCAGACACCTATCTGGGCACTAGAAATACGACAGTGAACAGAGTAGGGAGCTCCCAGCCCTTCTGGCCCTCTCAAGCAAGAGCACACTATTTATTTATGTATTTAGTACAGGGCCTTCAGGGTCTCACTACACAGATCAGACTTGTAGTGATCTTCCTGTTTTCAGCCTCCCAAGCGTTGGGATTACACGAGTGCACCACTATGCCCAGTCTCAACTGCAACGCACACCAGGGGACTGAACCCTAGTCCCTGTGTCTGCCTAAGCAGGTGCTTTAATCTGCTGAGCTATCTGACTGGCCCAGGAGCACACAATTTATGGAGTTTCTGCTTGGAAATAGAGCCAGGACTACCCAAACACAGCGCCTGAGCAAGGAACTATGATCTCCCCACTCCAAAATACTACATACATGTTTAGTCAACAGGTGCTGTAATTACTAAGCACTTACTACACCCCATATTGTTAATTAAACCCAAAAGAACACAGATAATGTGAAGTGATTCTCCACTCAGAAATAAGCATAAAGGGCCGGAAGATGGCTCAGTAGAACAAGCACTTCCCTGGCAAGCACAAGGGCCTGAGTTCAATCCCCGGTTCCACAAAAAAAAAAGAAAAAAAAAAAAAAAAAGAAAGAAAGAAAGAAAAGAAATAAGCATAATGTTATCCAGATTCCCTTTATTAAGTCATTCTTTAAATAAATTTGAATTCTATAAACCAAAGGCCAAGTCATCCCCAAGGTCAATTAATTTTCTGGATGTGCTTAAGGATCCAAAACATAATTTTACTCCCAAGCCATGAATATCGGTAAACTACACCTTACCCAGTACTACATTTTAGGGCGATTTTTAATGATTGACAAAACTAAAGTACTCATCCTACACCAAGAGAAAAGTACTGGCTTTGAGCACCAAATATTTGCCAAGAAAACAAAGTCAAGCATCCATAAAATCAACATTAAAAAAGGCACATTTCATGGGTGGAAATTTCCATCAAGCTGATCTATTCATGGTGAAAGTGAAGAGCCATTCTGTTACAAAGCTAGAAAACAAACAGATTAAAGTCCCTAATGGTAAGTGACTCTAAATGTTTCTTAAACATTAGAAAACAGCCTTTCCACCCACCTACATAGCTACAATTCATAGTTAGCAAAAGGAACATCACAGTGGCCCTTGGTCCTCCATAAAGGATCACCCAATGCAGCTTAGTCAATTTCCTACCCCCTCTATTATTAGTTATGCAAAAAGAAAAACAAATGCACATCAAGAGACCAAAAAAAAAAAAATGTATATATTACATATATAGAGAGGCAGACAGACAATAGGCAGAGCAGAGAGTTAATTAGAATTTCTTCAGGCCTGCCGTGCTAGTGCCGGCTCCGTCCCCATGGTATGCTGAGACAGCTGTTCAGACTGGGCATGGTGGTGCGCGCCTGTAATCCCAGCTCTTGGGAGGCTGTAAACAGGCGGATCACTACGAGTCCAATCTACACAGTGAGACCCTGTAGACCCGTAGACCCTTCTCTAAAATACAAAAAAAAAGGGAAGAAAAAAATGTCATAGGACTGTGCTGCTACAATGTTGTACATGGTTAGATTTCTAAATTTTTGTACAAAAATTTGTAATTGTTTGGGTTTTTTACTATTATCTTTTTTTAATTTTTTTCACATTCTGTAGGGATTTTTTAAAAGCTTTATTTATTTATTTATTTTTGTGCTACCAGGGATTGAACTCAGGATATTCTGCTTGCCAGGCAAGTTCTTATCTACTAAGCTATCTCCCCTCCCCCTCTGTAGGGATTTAAAGTTTAGTATATCAACAATTGATGGAAAATATGTGTTGCATGTTATGTCTAAAATGTTTGATATTCAGACAGATACTGATGTTAAGCTCAACAGCCTATGTTTTAGGGTAATAATAACATTAAGCTTCTCTTCTGGAGGGTTAACAACTTAAGTTGCAAACCAAAAAATTAGAGAAAAATAAGGGCTACAAGGATAGTCAACATTGTGGCCCAAGCCCTTCAAGGTCAGTGAGGACTCAGGACAAAAGAGAACCTGTACTGTAACATCCTGTAACTCAGTTGTGTCCCAAATTTTCTGATCAAGGAGATTATGGGGCCACTGAGGAAAATGATAGATGATGTAGAGTGTGCCTAAGCAGAGTCACATGGAGAGAAAACATTCTCTCAGGCTTTTACAGAAAGCAAACTGATAAGGCGATGGCCATGACTCAACCACATGGCTGACACTGACAAAAGATCTACAAACTGCTGTACAGGGTTTCAGGATAAAGCCTGAGAGGATTTGACTGGCCTTGTCAGATACAAAAGTTACATTTTTTGTTATATAGGTCTTGCTTTATCTTGATCTTAACCATCCAGCAGAAAAGTATAAAAGCAAGGTATAAACAGTAAAGCCATATTAATATGCT